TCGGTTTCTCGCGAAACGAAGATACTTTCGATCGACATTTTGGAGCACCCTGTATACCACTTTGATTTCCGTCTTGGGTCACGCTTTCATCGAAAAGGAAAGGGAACACGTTCAAGCTATTCTGTGACGATTTTGTAACGACATACATATATATATATATATATATATATATATATATGTAAATCCGAATATTCTCTCGATATATACTATATATGTGATCGAAGATATGGATTCACAATAGTGTCTATCTCGTGGTTGAAAATTGCTCCATTGTTGGCAAGAGATATAGGTTCGAGACACTCCTTCGGGAAATACATCTTCGGCCAGATGTTGGAGAATGAACGAGGACTTTGTGCAAGAAACTCGAACGATAAACGAGTCGATCTGGAGCGTTCAGTAGTAGATGGTAGACGTACCAATGCCACGGGTACTGTTACTTCTAGTTATTCGACCCAAGGTGAAAATCTATATTATAAGATATTTAAAATGATAAAATATATAGGGGAGGTCTTCTGATTTTCTAAGATCCTTCGTACTCTTCGTTTTCAAATTAAATCGTAAGATTATTTAAAAGTAATCGAATCGAATTAGGCAATGTATAGATAAAGTTCGTATTGATTAAAAAAAAAAAAAAAAATAGGGTGAGAAAGGAGAATAAGTCATCGCATCAAAAAAAAAAAACTAAAATTTATTTCATCCACGTATCCCACGATTAATCTATTAAACTGTTAATCGAGGAAGATGAGTTAACTCGTTATCTCCAACTTCCCAATGAATCCTTGAACTTAATTAATTGTTTATCCAGTGATCCTCTTCTTTGATCCATCAATGCATTTGTAACAGATATATCACAATACTTGCACATTACATTCATTCGTAAGGATTGAAAATAATTCGATTAAAATTAATTCATACTTGAATAAATATAATCTGATTACACGAAGGAATATTCTATTCTATTTCGAGAAACAAATAATCTATTCTTGTTTGATATCACACGTAATCTCTCCTCCGCCCAAAGGAGAGAAACGGTCGCAACGTAATTTGCAATACATTAAACGTTCTCACTCTCGATCGGTTGTAATTAATCGCAGGATTCACGGGTATCGGTTCAGTAGGCCGATCCTGATCTCTTTCCCATATCGATGTGTCGTACGGGAGATGGATTCTCGCGTATCGATTTCACGTTGAAGAAAAATACGCGACCGCCACGAGCACGCACCGTCTCCACCGGTCCACGTTACTTTCACGTTTCCGTTCGGTCGTCGTCGACGAACATCGGAGATCATCGCGGGAAACCCAGACAGAGAAGGATAGAAAGGAAAGCGACGCGGTCGGGAGAGAGAGAGAGAGAGGGGGGGGGAGGGGGAGAGATGGATTCTTCTCGTTTTGTACTGAATTCTGAATGGACATCCGCCTTTCTCACGATCGAACCACGCTCTCGTGAGAAGATTGATTCGTGCGAAGCGCGTGCTGAAGAATTGGAGCATTGGAGCGGCGTATCCACACGCGTATTTTTTTACATCTCGTACGTTCATATACGTACGTCTGCTTCGTTTGTGTCAATATTGAAACAGACGCGATGTTTAGACAGGGGAGGGAGAGGGAAGAGAGAGCAATTAGACGCGTCGTGAATGAGTATGAAAAAAAAAAAAAAAATGATTATTTTATGGAGGATTTATATGAGTTTCGAGGAGCGAGTGTATTAGTGAGAGTACAAATTTTTTTTCATCTTTCAAACTTTTTTTAAAAATTCAATGGAATGAAACTATGAGATCGGAGAGGTTTGATATTGGAATGCACCGTGGAAATTGATAAATATCATTTTTAACGAGAATGCAGATCTCGACAATTCTTTTGTAACCGCCGTAATTCTTGGAAAATATACCTCGTACGAGATATTGGATATTAGATCCACTTAAAATCGTTTAACGCGATTTTCCATTTCAACGGAAGGAGTTATATACGAGAGTTGAAACGAGACGAAGGTTATTATGTTTAAGCCAATATGTTGAATTACGAGATTACACGATAGCAAAATAATTTTTCCTCTTTTATTGCATTGTATTTACGCGTACCGTAGAATTATAGAAGCGTGGAATATGGAAGGTTTATAAGGGAGGATCGAATCGTGGAAGAAATTGCGTCGACCATTAAGGAAGAAAAGGAATATTAAATCTGCTCCTTGCTCCTTCCTTTCTGTTCTTATCGAATGGTTTCGAGATAATACAAAAGATATAAAAGCTGGATAGGAGAACAGATTCTCGATGAGGAGAAAAAAAGAGAAATAAAAAATACAAGTCTCGGTTTAGGTTTAAGAGGCTTGAAACCGCAAAAAGTCCAGATCTGCAGACGTTAATCATAGAAGCGTCTCGTGGTTGAGCTGTTTCTTATTCGAGTTGTGAAATTGGTATCGGCTACGAAAATCAAACATTTGTACAAGTGGCAGGAATATATTTGATTATAGCGATTAAAATATTGTCGATTTTACAGAACTTGATAAATTGGAGAAATGTTACTTCCTAATGCGATAAAAAATTATTATTGCTATTTCAGGGAAAAGTTAATGGCGAATATATGCAAATAACTTTCTCTTTCTATATCTATCCTCTCTACATCTTAAATTAACTTTTAATTGTTTCATCATAGAGTATGGCAGTGTA